AGAACCTTCTTGCTGCACGGCAACAGCTCTACCAACTGCGCCACTGTGCAGCCCTTATTTTTTGTTTTCTGTGGGTTATTTTTTTTGTTTCCTGTGGATTATTTTCCTTCTGTCAGGAGCAGCGGATCCAGGCCCTGCAGGCGCGTGTTGGAGCCGGTGAGCAGGCCTTGTCTGCCCTGGAACAGACCGCCACCGAGCAAATGGAGGGGTTGACCAAGCACAGCTCCCAGGCCCTGGACCGGCTTCAGAGACGGCTGGGCCAGGCGGGCTCGCAGGTGGAGCAGCTGCACTGCTTCATCAAGGTACAGCAGAGAGCCGCTTGTCTGCTTCAGAAAGTTTTAGATGTGATTAGGCAAAGGTTGAATTTGTTTGACACAAACAAAGTAGCACTGAGGAGCTTTCTGTCTGTGCAGCGCTAACTGAGACCTGATGGCTCAGAAAAAACTTTCATCTAAAAAGCCTCAGATACTGGACTACAAACGTAGACAAAGTCCAAAGAACAATACTCAGACCTTCATAAAGCCTGGAGATCGATTGATCCAGACACAAGTAATCAAAAGTCTGACTGTAGATTTTGCTCAGTTGTGTGATTTCATGACTCCAGCAGGAAGAAGCGGTAATGATGCATCTCCCTCTGCTGTACAGAGTTACTGGGATCTCCACTGGGAAGCTTTGAGATCTAATTTTAAAGCTGTGTTACTGTATTTAGCTGGTGGACAGTTTGAATTTAACACCTTCATGTCATTAGCTATCTCCATTTAAAACCAGATATTTACATACAATGAATGAAAAGACAGCATTTTTTTTTCTCTCTGTTTAACATTAAACCAAATTAAACGTTTTGTGTTTTAATTCAGCCTTTGCCTACCTGAATTATTTTTGTTTGCTGAAAACCAAAATAATGGGAGAGAGCATTTCTTTTAGAGAGTCTCGCATTACTTCCTTTGGAGTCAGAGTGTTTTGATGCATATCAGAAGCAAAATACCTCGCAAAAATGTCAGCGAGTCTGGTAAGAGAGTCATGATCCACAATGAGCCGCGTTCTGAATGGGCTGAAACGCCGCTCACAGAGGAAGAAGCCAATTACAGAAAACATGCACACTTTCCAAACTGTGAGGTATGGTAGTGGTAACGTCATGCTGTGGGAGTGACTGGTACACTTTACAACATCATGAGGAAAGAACATTAAATGGTAAAGCAACATCTTATTGTGTGAACTTGCAGAAGAATATCAGAAAATGTTAATTCTGCCAAACCCTGAGAGACTGTGTGTAACTCAGGTTCCTTATTGTTCTAGCAAACAGAAAGAAATATTATTAATAAGTCCACCTGATCAAAAACAGGAAATGTTTAGAGAAGCGTCGGACGGTGAGATGTAATGTTGTGTCTTTCTGCAGCGAGTATCTGGTAGAAACAGACCACCAGGGAGAAAATCTGAGCATCTGGAGCAGCCGCCCTTCTCCTTCTCTGGGCCTAATTCATCACCCGCTGTTGTGTTTGTGTCAATCTGCCTGAAAGTGATAAAGACTGTCCATCACCTGAGTTCAGCTCACACCTGTCTGTCGAAAGAGAAATAGCTGACAGATAGATAACAACGGTGGAAGTTTTCTGCTCACAAACACACCAGGTGGCAGAGAGATTATGGACAGAATGCATTGTTACCTTCCTGCAGGGAATTACTGCATTTTGCCCAAATAATCTAATATTTTCACCAATATTGAGCAAATATGATGCAAAGATGTCAAACACCATAGTTAAACCCAGAAGTATTCATAAGCCTGGAGGATTTAGGTTTCAAGTATCCTTTAAATTTTACCAGCATGTTTGTTCTTGAATCTGTGAAGGAAGGAAAAGATTAGGGTGATGGCAAGGAGACCATCCACTGTCATAGACTTGGAGCTCATCACTAAACATAAACCATCAAAATACAACAAAAAATTTACATTTGATGTGATATTTTCTAATAAGACGAAAATAAAAGCACATTAAATTATTTCTTAAGAAATTTATATTAATTGTGTTTTGCATCCAATTTCCAATGATGATGATCTTAAAACTAAACCTGCCAAGGGTGTGAATAGTTTTCTGTTCAGTGTGAAACATGTACAGTAATCATTAATCAATAAGCACCAGAGGTGTCCAACATGCGGCCCGGGGGCCATTTGCGGCCCTTCAACCAACTTTACAGTTGAGCAAATCTGACCAACACAGTTGGTTGATACGGATGGACACTTTCCATCTTTTACAGATAAATAACATCTTCTTAAAATAATATTAGAGGCAAAAAATAGATTCCTATTTACTTACTAAGTTTTTGCAATGTTGTAATTTTAGAGTAACTAGCAGAATTATTGACCTGCTTTTACTGAAAAGCAAATCCTGCAACTCAGAGAACAATCAAACTCTGGATCTGCCTCAAGCTGGACGTTTTTTATGTTTCTGTCGACAATCATCTACCGATCCGTTTTCTGCAAAAGTCTGGCTATTTTGATTTCAGAGTAAATAAAATAAAAAAGGCACAAAAAGTTTGTTTTAGAAATGTTGGCCCGCTGTGTTTTCATCGTAACGGTTTTATCCCTCATGGCAACAAGTCTGGACACCGCGGATCCACACGGAGCCTGGAAACGACGCGCTACTGTACAGAAATGCGTGTCATGCTCGTCTCCTCCGTTCCCATAACCCCGAGCTGCTGAGGCCGTCGTCTTGTTGTTGAGGATTCACATCATTGTTTGTCTCCCCCCGGCTCTTGTGATCCCCTATAAGAACAGCGAGCCCTTTGATTGGACTGCCTGACGTCCGGAGGAGATTTACTCTTGTCATGTATTGATCAGGACCGGAGGGCTGCGTGTGTGTTTGTGTGTGCAGAGATCTCAGTGTCTTTATGAGCTTATTTTTTTGTTCTCTCTTTCTGTGTGTGTGTGTGTGTGTGTGTGTGTGTGTGTGTGTGTGTGTGTGTGTGTGTGTGTGTGTTTTTCTATTGTGTGCCAGCAAACCCTTTTGGCCCCTGCACACGCCCCAGGCTGTAAGCACTGCTCTTGAACTGCTAAACAGTGGCCCTGAGTATTGCGACCAATCCACAGTACACAGATACACATGCTGAGATTATTCTCCTCCAAAGAAAGCTTCGACTTTTTATCCTCGCTGAAAAACACACTATTATGGTCAGTTTCTGCACTGCTCTGTGTTTTCTGCTGAAACACTGATCTATTATGCATCAAAATGATTAGCAGCCAATTAAATTTGATCTTCTGGAGGTTTCTGTAGAGCAGAACAGGTTACGTTTGTTGGATATTTAGGCATTACTGTGTGAATAGGACGTTGCATAATTAATGAGTTGTGCTCGTTGTGTTTATGAATTTATTGGTTTATTTCAATGTAGCACTGCTTAAGGGAAACAAACGGTGATTCACCAGTTAAACTAACTGGTTTTCTGCTCGGTCAGCTTCACCAGTAACTGGCCAGTCAGACTCTCCCAGTTAAACTAAAATATCCATTCAGCTCATGTTGATGTCAGGCGTTTGTTTATTTACTGTCAGTCAGAGGAAACAAGGATCCATCCATCCATCCATCCATTCATTCATTCATCCATTCCTCCATCCATCCATCCATACATCCATCCATCCATCCATTCATTCATTCATTCATTCCTCCATCCATCCATCCATCCATCCATACATACATCCATCCATTCCTCCATACATCCATCCATACATCCATCCATTCCTCCATCCATTCCTCCATCCATCCATCCATACATCCATCCATTCCTCCCTCCCTCCCTCCATCCTTCCATCCTTCCCTCCCTCCATCTCTCCTTCCCTCTGTCCCTCCCTCCCTCCATCCATCCTTCCATCCATCCCTCCCTCCATCTCTCCTTCCCTCTGTCCCTCCCTCCCTCCATCCATCCTTCCATCCATCCCTCCCTCCATCT